ACCCTCCCTCTGATAAATACTGCTAATAATTTATCTCTTTGATAGTTCATTACAATTAATTAGTGCTTATAGTACTTTTTAGATAAATTGTTACATATAGGCTGTTTTATTTTACATATAATAATTTATAAATGCTTTATAGATTTCGGATGGGTACCAACCAATACTGATCACTGCACCAGCTTGAGAAACACAGCCCTAAGGGCAGGACACGAGAACGGAGGCAGCACGTCCCTGTACGTTGGACGCGCATGCTACGATGGCAGCCTCCTGCCGGCCAAAGTTAATTTGGACACACAAAAAGCCTACGTCTGCAAAGATGGAATTGAAATCGAAGTCTCCGAATTTGAGGTACACGATATAAAACATATATTTGAGAATACATGCAATCGATTCAAGGTGATGGTAGAGATGACCAGTGAAGTTGGTCTGAAAATTTAGGAAATTAGTTAGATCTTTTAGACCCACTCGAAAATATCTTGATATAAATATTGAATGTTAAAACTGGTTTATTATATTAACTTTTAATTCAATTCTTCAATACCCATTACATTAATATTCTTATGGCGTAATGCTACGAGTATAATATAGTAAAAAAACAATTAAAAAACCAGAAAGCTCAATATTGGAGCATTAATAATAATATTCAAAATGGTTGTTTACAGAATATTGATATATGAATGAAATAATTAAACTGAACTGGTAACTATACATCTACATACAATTTTGCTTCGTATAAGATGTATTCCAATTTTAGTCCAGTCATTCTAATAAATTCACCTCGGAATTCGAGATACCCAGAGCGGTAAGTCTGTAAATATTTGTATATTGACACCCTAAAATTGTCTCAAAACCTACATATGGTACCAACCCTACCATATGTTGGTTTTTGAGACAACTTTAGGGTGTCAATATACTAGTATTTACAGACTTACAGTTGAGTATCTCGAATTCCGAGATTCTTACCGAATTTAAGCTTAAATTACTGGACTATTTATATATTTTATATCGGAATTTTTACAGTAAACTGCTTTAATGTATAAAAATATTGGTTTACATATTCTACATTATTTTTTATGAACAGATGTACTGTGGTTCTCAATTGGTGTGGATGCGTGCTGAAAATGGAGATGTTCCACCTGGTGCAGTGTCAGCTGGAACCACATGTGATGGCGAGGAGGCCTTTGTGGGTCGCGCTAGGCTAGGACCTTGTGGCGAAGATATAATCATTGGAAAGGTGATAGCTGAATTTATCATAGATTTTTTTATTCTGATTTTTATAAGCAATCAGAACTTAACGTAGTGTTGCTTCTTAACGACGAGCTTTCTCGAAGGCAACCCAACGATTGGTCTTTCTATACATGAATTTATTCATATTAATGATGGATTTTTCAATTATCTATAAAGGTTATTATTACTTGAAAATATATGTTTATCTACATTTTAAAATGAAAATGGATATCATCTTTTCTTGATATCAGATTGTCAGCACCGCGGGATTCATGCTATATAACTCAAACGTGATCTAAGATCATATTTAGATATAACGAGTTTCTTTAATTAAATTTTTAATAAAAATAATTACTTAACAAATACTATTTCAGGATACAATAAAAGTCTGATAAAGAGTGTCTACATAACTTTTAAATGTTTATGATCTTTATGATGTATGATTTTGTGCTAGTCGACATTATCTAAAATTCTGCACAATTGTCTTCATAGATAAAATTTCATACAATATATTGTTTTCAAAGTGTCTATTTAAAAATGATACATGTCATTTGTGCAAAGTTTATATTGGTCTTTTAAAAAGTTTCACTTTAGTAATTTATTGTTGATTTTCGTAAATTTGTAAAGAAAAATTTCAGATTATTGTAATGAGAGGATATTTCAACCTATATTTGGATTCGGCCATTTTTTTTCTTTCGTAACTTATTTTTTATATGATTTTCAAATATTTGATGGGTTGTTATAATTTTATTATCAAGTAAGAATGGAGATTCAACAAGAACCCAAATATTTTAAGTAATTCGGGACAATCCGGGATAAAAAAACATGTATTAAGTTGGACGCAATATTGAAAATCAGGACCGTCCCGGCTTTTATTATTCAGAAATTTTATTTATATTATTTATTAATTTTATTTTTATTAATATTTGCTTTTATTTTATTTTAAATCATCATACTACGGATATTATTTTCATGTAAATTCTATCCTTTGCACTCTTATTTATTTAAATTTATGTTATTATTTATCAATATTGCTAGATGTTAATTATTCAACAGTTGTAATAAATATTGTAATTAAAAAAAAAGACCGTCCCGGCCAGTCCCGGATTACCTGATTATGATATATACTCAATTTTTGTATTAATCCGTAGAAATTGCATATCTATTATGCATGAAAATGTTATTAATTAATACATAACACATATATGTTTTATGTATTTAACATATGTAGTTTTAATATGTTTTCTTTTTAGGTGTTGCCAAGTCAAGGAGCTTGCTTCGTGCCATTCAACGGCAAAGAGGAAGCCAAAACCGATTACGAAGTTTTGGTTCTAGTGCAATAAATTAAATAATTTTGCCTTTTGAACAATTTCTACATGTGGTTTGACAAACGAGCTAATTACCCGTTATAGTTGTGTTCATCACAGATCTTCATTAGGGAGATCTGCCAAAACAAGTGTGTTGCGTGTGGTTCGGTGTTTCTGCACAATTCATATTTGATGAAACAGTATTAAAATAAAATCATTCTAAGTTATCAATTTAAATTAATTTGAAAGGTATATTGATTTCATTTTGTAAATTTGCACTTTATAGATTTTGATTTCATATATTTAAATAAATTTTGAATATAAATATAATAAATAGCAGCTTCAACTTGTATTTAAATGTAATTAAATTCATGTAATTTATTGGATGTTTAAATATATATAAATTTGCAAACAATTGCATTCATTTATTAAATTTTATAAGGTTCTTTTTAGATATGAGAAAAATAAGCTAGTTATAAAAGTTCACATATTAATCATAAAATATTATCATTGACCAAAATAAGTTCACCACTTGTAGAGGGACCCAATGTGAAAATAGGAGTTATCTTTTATACATAGACTGAATATTCATCAATTTATGTTATATATAAATATATATGAGTGTGTGTGTGGGTGTGCATATTGTTTTCTTTTCTGGCATCGGCGAGTTTGTGAATTAATGACCATAAGGTTCAAGTGTTTGGAGAAACTAACCATTTATCAGAAATTTTTTTCTCAATTTGAATATTGTTTCAATTCTTGTTCAATAATTTAATTTTTACAAAAAAATAAAAATAATAATTCGGAAACAATCTACTATATATGTGATAAATTCATAAAAATTTAATAATATATATATATATATATATATATATATATATATATAATTTATCTCGACAAAGATCACAATCATAAATTGTTGCTCGTATATGATCAACTTGCAATTTTTACTACATGTAAAAATTTCAGGACTCGTGAAAGTACAAAAACTGCATTATATTATGTTTGAAGTATTCTACAAAATAAAAACGTAATTTTAAAATTTTAATTACATTCAAAGTATAGCATAGTTGGCAATTTCTTCAAATACTCAATAAATTTTTCTGAATACAAAACGTGATATTTATATATTTTCTGATCTATTTTCTTATCTATATACGTGTTGACAGATTAATTGCACAGAAGATTTACAGTTATTTAAAACACTTATTGTAACTAATTAGAAGTTCATTTAAAAAAATTGAAAATGCACGTAAAATAGTTCTACGATTTCGCTTCAGTTTTAGAAATATGTAATTCCAAATTTGACAAGTTCCATGTAATATTGAATTTTCTGAGATATAAAATAAGTTATTTCATTACAATTTTAAATAACTGAATAAATATACTGCAAAATGAGAAAAATAATTTGAATTAATAAAATATATAAATTTCTGAATACCATTTGAAAGAAGATAAATTTTGTTTTATAGCAAGTTAATATTATGACAAATAAGTTTTTCTAAAACTATTCGTAAGTTTTAAACATTTTTAATTGTACAAATTTGACCGAATTTTCATTGGAGAAACCTTCCCAAAAGCAAACAGAATCAACTGATAGTCTCACAGATTAATGAAATATTCTGATTTACTATCTGTGTAATTAAGATAAAATTTGCAGTATACCTTCAACCTATTTCACACCGTCAATTAATTAAATCGGTAATTAGTTCAGTGCTACGAATGGTTTTGATTTCAAATATCCCAAACAACCAGATTGCTACACTTACAGGCGAATTTTTTGCTACACAAGTAGGTACCATTGATTTAGGATTTAGGATAACTTATATCAGAAAAACAAGAGCAAAATAATTACAAAATATTTTTCATTAGGACTCGATACATAAAATTCGATGCTACCAAACAATTTCAAACAAAATATCATATTAAATTTGTCGACTCTTTGTATTAAAGGAGTTTTATGATCGCCAACAGATATGTTATTCCATCGCAATAAACGATTTTATTCGATTTCGTGTTTTATGTCCTCGTAAAAGCTCATGAACGCATACAGTAGCTTCGACCCAATAGAAATTCGACCTTGTCAATAAAAGCTCGCCGGGAGCTTTTCCTTACATCTTATTAGCGTTAATAAAATTGAAAAAAAAGTGACATTTGAAAAAAATATATGCTAGCAAATAATGAAAAATGGTCTTTCATAAAACACACATACAATACATACATATAATTTCAAAGATGGTTGTCTACTTTTATATATTTTCTTAAAAAAAGTCTTGTCTATTACATGTTAACAACTCTCCTTGCGCTCAATGCAAGTACTTTTATTAAATACTACTATGAAAATGATACATTCACAGAAGTCTTTTAATTTTAATTTAATTTAATCAAGTTATGTAAAACCAAGGAAAATATTAAATTAAAATAATAAAATCGAGAGGTTAGTAATAATCATGTAAATATGATATGATGTATTATAAATAATTCTTAAATTCTGTATGATAAATTCGTTTCGATTATGTTTAAACAATAATGAAATTCATTGTACTCATTTTACAATAATCCAAAAGCTATTATTAAAGAAAATATACTAACGTAAAAAAACGATTTCCTAACAAAATTTTAGGGAATTGACTACAGTGATAAGAAATCTGAATTACAGATAGAAAGAAGATGGTAAAAATATGAAGAAAACATTGTGCAATAAATTAGCAGACGATCATAACAGTAATTGAAAATATAACATTTAAATTAAAATTTCCCAAAACAACAATCACATTATCAATAAATGCTGGAAACAATATGACCTCGTTTTTTAATTGTCGTAGTATTTTCGGAGAAGATCAATCAGTACTTGTTAGATATAGCGACTAGAGTGTTTATTTATTGTACGCACTATTTGTAAATGTCAATGCCATCAATGAGCCAACTGTTCAAACATAGTTCACAAAAATTTTAAATCTCATATGCGAAAAATTACTTAATTACAATTTATAATCAACATAATTCTTGGAAACTGATTAATATTATAAAAAATTCTTTGCTTAAAGTGTATTTGGATTATAAAATTAGTTACTGTTTCTAATCTTTCTGCTTTGATTGCTTTCAATACCTAAAGAAAAGTTCACATTGATTGTTCACAGTTCACAAATGATTAAATTAATTTTAAAATACCTAAAATTTATATTTCAGTTTATACTTCAAAGTGTATGAAACCTCTTATCAATCATAATAATATCAAAAATTTCCACAGAGCGATAATGAACAATTTAAAGATAATTTTACTATTTAATACATATTGAAAGATTTTTTATATTGTGTAACCAATTGATATTGTGATACCAAGTTACTGTTATGAAATACATCATGATTGCTGATCAAAAATCAAATAACCAAAAACTGAGAAATCAGAGCTTTGTTAGTATTCTATTTCGTTTATAAAATATTTTTTATAGTTTTTCCAGCTATATAGTACCAAATAGAGTCGATTACACATTGGAACGTCTGTAAATTTTCTGATCTCATAATTTATTTAGATTTTAGATTATTGAACATCTAACGATTTCAGATGAGTAAATAAATAAAATGATTCGTATTTTTCTATTATTTTTTATCAAGAAATAGTCAAAAAATTCTAAGTTAGTATCTGAAATCACATATTATATAATTTGTTAATTGGGTTAACGGTTTTTGGATCGATTCTTGGCAATCATAAAATAACGTGTAAAGTTTAATAGAAATTGAATAGTTGATTAGAAATTGAAGTAGAATTTAAGAAAATAGTTAATTTAAAATAAACGTAATTAGAAATGTTGAATTGAATTTGAAGAAAAATTAGAAGTAAAAAGAAAGCAAGAGAAAGATTAAAATTAGAGAAGATCAGAATTAAGTTGAAATGTATTCGAATAAAAAAATTAGAAGTAAGAAAAAGCACGATTAAAATACAAGAAGATCAGACTTAGAAGTAAAAAGAAGAATGAAGAAATCAGTAAAAATATATATTATTTAATAATTAATCATTCTTTTTTCAACCTCCTCTGTATTAAATGTGAGGTTTTATAAATAATAATATACTATAAAAATATTTGATTAAATTGAATTGATTTTTTGAAAAAAATTATATATTTGTTCAATCATAAATAAAATTTAATCGTCCTTTGAATACTCAATGCAATCTCGAGACTTAAGATTTGAAAATTGAGTTAAAGGTAGACATAATTTATGTATATGTATATGTATATATATATATATATATATATATATATATTACATTAATTGAAATAATTACTTACAAAGTGTGGTCAAAGGTTATGTTGAAATCACTCCCTGTATATATTTGTTGCAACTTTGCACTTGATACTTATTAGTAGAGACACTTAAAAGCTTATTACTATTATTCTATATATTAGTACCACTACAACACTTAGTTATTTGTTCAAATAAATGTTACAATATATTGATTAGTAAAGATATATACTACAAACGTCTCACTACATTGAACATAAACGTTAGTATAAAATCTATGTCTCAATATCAAATAAAAATGAGAAAAACACTTTATTTGAACAACATACTGATAATCAGTAATCGACGCAATCAATATGCCCGTATCATTAATTAAGGGAAATAAATTGAATATGCTTTGATAAACATAAAACTTTGATACATACACTTGGAATTCCGAATTATAAAATGAGCGATATTAAATTACAAATAAATATTGTAAGTGTGAAAACAAATTCAAAATATCTAGTGATGTTTTAGAGAGCATTTTAGTGACGGTTTTGGCAGCGTGACAATTTCAACTGTCTAACTTTAGTGTCACCCAAATTATGCTGAAGCTTCGAAGCTAATAGTTAAGGCGCTGGCAACACATTGGAAACAAAATTTGGAAAAAGATTGATAAAGTTCTGTAGTCTCATACTATTGACGAAAGATTTTACTTAGAAATATTATTTAATATATAAGATAAAATTTGTAAAATTATAAACAAGTATTGAAAAATTATTTGTTATCTAACTTTTCTCTGGAAATATGATGTAAATTATACATCAGTTCTGCTTTGACTCTGTAGGTTTGTCCTGTTAGTTCAGTTTATTACAAGTTACCAAAATATCTAATACATTTATCACAAGATGACCACAAGAAAATATCATTGTAAAGTATAGTATGCGTTTT